ATAGTCTTTATATAATTGACGTGTCGCAGTCTGTGGAGCACGCACATCCACATTCGTTGGAATTCCTTCGTTCCGATTGCTCTAACATCACACGGTTTTTCCGAAGCAAAGGAGTATGTTTCATTTTCTGGGGGCGATTTCGTCATTTATGATATCGATCATGCGGGGGCATCATTTCTTTGAATTTATGACTTATCCAAATTGAAGAAGGTTCAATTTGCTTGCAGGCCTCTGTGCTCTCAGTCCGCGATCTTTTTCGCTTGGTAGCCGACCCATCCGTCAGTTCCCAAGAGGAGTTCGAGGAACTTTTAAATAAAAGGCAATTTTTAAATTTTTTTTGCTAATTTTATACACTTTTCCACATTTATACAAATGCAGAAACGCATGCTGGCAGCAGTCCTGCTTGCGTGTGTTCGTATTTTGTCGCTCACTTTCAACTCAGCAGCCAGAGAAGCTAAAAAGCCGAAATTTTTGCTGTATGCGCTCACCTTGTGCGCAATCCCTTCATTTTAATACTGCCATGCATGTTCGCTTGTATGAATGAAAATATTAAAATGAAGAGGACACGCATGGGGTGGCATATGCACCAAAAACTTCTCGCGTACGGATACTTAAAAGGAAACATAAATTTTTCGGCAGGAAAGCGGTTTCGAGGACCAGTCAAGTTAGGAAGCGGATATTTTACAGGAATATTTTATATCCTTACGTCATGTGTAGGGACATATTGAAGTTAAAATTTAGGCATCGACAGTAAAATGCCACCTCAGGAATTCAGTGGATAAAACGCTGTAATTTTGTGGGAACATTTGTTTCCATACATAGGCATGTAGTCGCAAAATGAGCTTTAGCATTCCTTGTATCGCGCGTTTGACACGTCAAAAATATTTATAACGAAAAGCGATTTCACAAGTCAATCATTTTAGGAAGCTGAAAATTTACAAAGATATTCTATGCAAAAGTCCGACCCAAATATTTCAAATTCAGCTCTAAGTATCGCATACGCGCAATTGAAAATTTAGTTTGGGACGCTGTTGACACTTATTTAAGTCAGTGCCAGAATAAGCAGAAAGTAGTATTTTTCTAAGGATATTTGCTGCGGGCTGCCAAGCATAAGATTTGCTTGAGCATGAGGTGCGTAAAGGCGCATTAAATGTTCAAATTGCATTTGTTGCAGAATAGAGTTATGCAAAAAGGCATAATCGCACAGACAAGTCTGGTGTGTCGTACTTGGATTAATTCATCCATCTGCAACATAATATCCCCTTACCTGTTTTAGGTCAGCAGAAACTCCAGCCGATGATGCCCTGTTCATGAATGCCTTCATTGCGCAACGCTTAGAGCAAGTGCTGCATTTTGGACGTGACCAGCAAATCGAGAAAGAAGGAGGAGAGATACCGAATCCCTTTCAAACAATGATTTTGCAAGTGAAACACAACAAAGATGATGATATTGAAAAAGTAAGCATTTGGTCAATGCTTTGTCGTGATTGTTATGTGCGATTCAGAATTGAAGCGTTTACAAAACATTTTTGAAGGACTATTGTTAGCAAATTTATGCATCAATTGACTGGAAAAAAGCTAGTGGTCTTTCAAGTAAAGTGGAAAGAGTTGCTAGGTTCTTTTGCCCTCGATCAAAAGAACGCTTTTGAACTCTAGTAGAAATAGATTTCGGAGATCAAGTAATTGATATTTAAGCAGAGGATATCTCAACGCGGCCGCGAGTATCAACACAGCCGAGCATACACACAAACAAAAATTGTTTGTTTCGTTCGTTATTTTGATTCTGTATAACTGAATTTTTCTTTGAATTCTCTGAAATGGCCTTTGAGCACAAAGGGGTTCGGTTGCTTCTACGGAGTGCCCAACTGTCTTGTAAGGCGTTCGCATTCTTGCAGTCCAGCAAACCAAGATTATGGTATTTTTTAGATGGAGTAATTGAAGTGAGAGTCACACATTTTTTGCGACACCCCCAAGTTTTATCATTGTTGAAACGCCAGCAGGCAAGGCAGTGTAAAGGCATGACACGGTCTAAACCTCAGTAGTGCTAAGTATGTGCCGCATTTTTTTATACCCAAGTTTGGCCGAAATGGATTACTGCCTGTCAGTTTAGCCTCTTACGCGCATATGCGCCAAATGTTTATAGCACGAATGAAGGAAAATAAAGTGGGCTCTAGTTCCCTGCAAACCTTTCGGTTCTGCTTGCGGAAGCCAGAGGCCCGAGGGCTGCTAATCAATTCAGATGACTGGATAATATCGCCAAGAAACGTTCTAGACCTTTTGTTTATCTACAAGCATAAATCGCTGCTGAAGGGCATCCAAGTCGTCTTCGTAAAAATTTATAGAATATCATGAAGACGCGCTAATGCTCAGCGCTTGAAGACGCACATTAATAGTCCAGGGGTCGTAGTCAAATTTGCTAAAAAGATGCAGTATCGGTTAATTCATAAGTACTGTGGTTTCATGGAATCGAAAATTGGGTTTAATGAATTTACATAATTTAAAATCTTTATGCATAAATACGTCGTGACTCTTCGATTGCGGTGTTAACTATTTCTATTTGCCCGAGTTTATGTGATGTTTTTTACGTTTATTTTTATAATGGCAGGCCCTGTGCTAGTTTCTGAGGATGGAAAAATACGTTGGTTGAAAAAGAAGCAAAAGCAGGTTAACAGAGTTTCTGAACTTGATTTTCGACGAGCTTTTTGCAGGAAAGTCAACTTGAAAAATCAGAATGCAGCGATAATAAGGGAGATTCACGTGAAAATAGTGTGGACACTGAGCATACACGGTCTGACAACGAGAAACTGGAACAGTCAC